CACGGTTTCTGATAAAACTTTCAGAAACCTGTAAATGCACGGATTTTGCACGGAAAGTTTTTATAAAACTTTCAGAATTCAGGGTGATCCAAATCATGGTCGATGGGATCCATTCTCAAGTTACGGAGTGAAGGATTCAATTATCTCGTCCCCACAGACGGCGCCAAAATGTGAGGGATAAAACTCACTTTCTAATTTAAGTTAGGTTAAGATTGGGGAGAAAACAATCGTGGGTTGAATCCCTTAAGAACTTAGAGAATGAATTATGATTGTATTGATGAATAAGATTTACAAAGATGATTCTGATGAGTACAAAGAATATAATCGAATGATTTGAGAGTTACAATGTGTGTGTAAATTTGTAAAAAGCGTGAATGAATCGAGAGAGAGAGATCTTTTCTCTGATCTCCCCCTTCTCCTTAAATAGCTCTCAGCCACGTTTGAAGGATCCTAACCAACCTCCGAGATTTGCTCCGTGAGTTGAGGGATTCTCAACAGTCTCCTTTTGACCGGGTCCTGCGCAACCAGCCTGAGCTACTCCTGTTAGCTCCTTGTAAATGAGGTCTGGAGCTCTCCTGTTAGCTCCTTGTAAATGAGGTCTGGAGCTTTCCTCCGTGACCTGTTTATAAATGAGGTCCGGAGCTCTCCTCCGTGACCTGTTTTATTGACGTTCCTTCCTTAGCAAAAACAGACTCCGGCTTCTTTTTGACTCTTTTCTCAAAAGATTAATTGTCAATGGGCTTACAGTGGCCCATAGTCAACTCTTATCGTTCTAGCCCATTAGTCTCAGCTAGCGGGCCATATTTGGGCCCAACAAGGACCCGATAGGGTAATTTCAAATTTTCGGTTTTGGTTCGGTTCGGGTCGTACCGGGTCGGGTCGGGTCTTAGATAGTTGGACCCATTCGGGTAATTAGAATTTATCGGTTCGGATTCGGTTCGGTTTCGGGTCGGGTTCGGTTCGGGTTCGACCTAAAAAATACCTATATATATAAAAAAAAAAATCTGAAAATACTTATATATCCGAATGTGTTTTTACTATATTAAAATGTGTATATATATTAAACTATGCGAGATACAACAACAATTCGTTGTCTCCTAGTGGTTGACCCCTTAATCTCTATAGAAACAACCCGTCTTCGACTTCCCCTCAATGCTTTTTATTTAATTTACACTATTAATTTGGGTACCCATCGAGTTTCGGGTTCGGTCCGGGTCAGGTCCAAGACCCGCGGGTCCTCCACAACAAGACCCGATAGGGTAATTTGCTCGGGTCGGTTCCTACCCGGATCCGGTTTTTTCGGGTCGGTTTCGGGTCGGGGCGGACCCACGTTCAAGGGAATGGGGTCACCTGACACCGGTAAAATTATAAATATTTGAATTATTACAGATGATAGTAAAGAATTCTCAGCTCATTTGGTTAGAAAACCTTTCTTTGACACCCCAAAAACGCGGCTTCGATTCCCCTTGACCCCATTTTTCGGACATTATTTTATGTTATATATTACATTGGGTTAAGGCCCATTTTTATGACCCCAGTAAAAATTAGTTCTGGGTCCGCCACTGGGGTCGGGTCTTCGGGTCCGGGTAAAATGCCCAGGCCTATCTCTCTGTATAATGGCAAAATTTCAGAGATAACAAAATCACATGTTCGATTTGCTGGAATGCTCTACACAGTGGCCCTCACCATCACACTCGTCCATCCATTAGAACTCTTTTTCACCCTCATCATCTTTGGCATGGCTTTTTGAAACTGTAAAATTCAGACTTGAGGAAGATAAAGAGTTAGAACACCACCTGAGTTCTCGATTTATATCCTTGCTTGAGATTATGTAGTAATTCTTTACCTCGTGGATGTTGTGATGAACCCTCTTTTGTTAATGCTCTTCACCGTAACAGACTTGGTAAATATGCCATGAACACAATAGGTCTACACAAATGATATTTCCCTAAAAAACATACACCGGTTTCTAAGAAACTAAAGGATGAAAAAATCCAAATACTCACCCTGATTTTAGTGGACGGGAGACTTATTCATGAAAAACATACACCTAATGATAAGTACAGAAATAGAGTAGTTGATTTCATGTCCAGCATGCAATATGAAGCTGAAGTCCTACAATCTAGCTAGCCTAAGCTTCCAAGGCATATTTCCCATGGAATCAATATAAGATGAGAGGACTATATATCACGTTACCAGCACGTTTAAAGATATAAACGGAATGGATATGACTAAAAGTAACTTTATAAAATCAAATTGGGAAGGGAAGAGTGACGTACATTGAATCCACCATATATAGTAAGTTCTCTCCATTATAAAGGTTGCTGTTAAGAAGAATTTGAGGCTTTCCAGACACCATCTATTCTAGACGGCTGGGATCATCTCAGGGTAATCTACAGCTGTGAGGGGAGCTTCCAGTAGAAGAGCAGCCAAAGTTACAACCTGAGCAGGTGCGGGGTTAACATATTTTCCCTTGGGAGCATGGATGATCACAACATCGAGTAATTGTGTCATTGGTCCTACCTGCCTAATAGGGTCCCAGTCAAACAGGACCTTAACATTGATTCCAAGCAAACTCTGCACATTTATGGGCTTTAACCACAATACTACAATAGCTTTAGATATTTTCAATGTACTTAACCATTAAGAAGGGAATGAGGAATTCAGAAGAAGAAACTATCACCTGTATAAACAGAACATGTTTAACTGCAAAGTCGATGTACTCCTTGGTTGGTTGACCGGAGGAAACCATGTAACCGACCTCGAATTTCATGGTTTTGGCATCTGATATACCATGGATTTGACCTTCTTTTAACCATGGTATATAAGTGTTTTAATATCTAACTAGAGTTTTCATCCGTGAGCCCACACGGTATTATTTTGGTTTTATAATTGGATATTTAGAAAATAAAAGTCTTGATGTTTACATGTAATTTTGTTTATGGTAACTATATATCTACTCTATTAAAATAGAGTCATCTACTCTATTAAAATAGAGTCATTCTTTTCATCTTCTGATACAAGTTGTCATTTAAATTTGGATCCTTTCTAGAGTGTTACAAATATGTAACACAAGCCATATAATTAATTGAACCGCATTACTTAAATTAAGCCGATGGTTATTTATGGGATATATTTTTTGGCTTACTTTTGTTTTTAGAACAAATTATATAGTTTTGTTTTTGGGCATAGTATTAAAGAAAAACTCCAAAAAACATTTAATAAACTTTCTATCTTAATAGATAAAAAAATCAATTATTATTTTTAGGCCCAAAACGTATTTAATATTTTTAACAAAACATGTTAATGTATTTTTTTATTTTAAATAACAATCACTTTATTTTGATAAATTTCAATGGTATTTTAAATAATTTATTTTTTTTATTTTCTTAAATAATTTACTGATTTAAAAAAATGTAAAGCAAAACCAAAAATCAAATCTAAAAACAAAAATCAAAACCAAAAGCTGAAAACACAAGTTATATTTTTTTTGCTTTTGTTTATTTACAAAATAAACTATTGCAAATTTTTTTTTGTCATATTTTCAGTTTTAAATTAGATGTTTGATTATTTAGGATTTGTTTGTTGGTAATATCAGTTCAAACTAATTCAACGGGTCTAAAAATTAAAAACACAAACCAAAAGCTGAAAATCTAAAGTAGAAACTTTAAAACTAAAAAACAAAAACCAAAATCTAAAAATAAAAACTAAAACTAAAAACTAATGAAAAACAATCATCATCACAAATTTTGGTTAACTGGTTTTATACCAAAACATTATTTAAATTAAGACAAAACCCAATTATATAAATTTTTAATCATAAAAAATTTACGCGCTTTCAAGCGCGGATCAAAATCTAGTTGTTAATTAAAATATTCTGCTTAGTGACAACTGCTTTTTATTTTAAATTCAAAATAGTTTGGAATATAAACCAATCTGTGTATAGTTCATATGAAATTGTTATACTGTAAATACATATATAAAAGACATGTTATAAAAAATTGATCAGAATCTGGCCTTGGTTGTACATATTATAATACTATAGAACCGGATTAATTTCACAGAAGATGTATATTGGTTTGGTATGGTAGCTTTGGTTAGGTATATTACATGAAAACTAGTGATGACAAAAAAAAATTAAGAAACATGAAAAACGGTTTGAGATAGTGTTGATCTAGACGTTTTCCACATGATTATAATATTAAGGTTAGTAACATGATTACCGAAAAAGAAAAGATTAGTTAAGGAATATGCAAAATATGAAACGAATTTGGAGATTGTACTTGTGGTATGGTATCACTTTGGTTAATTTCATACCTAGAAAATAAGACTTGCATTTCGAATCAGAATTGTCCCACATAATGATAATAGTGATAATTTTAAGTATCATATTAAAAGGAGGCAATTCAGTTGATCAACCAATAGAATTGATTTGGTTTGTTAAAGTTGTCAAAGTTGTTAAAGTTGTCAAAGCAGCTGTTTATTTGAAATGGTATAAATGTAATTTTTGGTTAACTTTAAATTAAATTTAGGTGGTTTAATTTAAGTGTAAAACATGGGTTAATTAGTTTAATGGCATAGATTTGTAATATTTAAATTGAAGTGAGAGTTAATTTTAAGTTATACTTCAGTTTTAATATATAAGATTATTATATTTTAGAGTACTATGATCATATTTATAGATTCATAAGTGATTTAGTAGAAAGTGATATATTTGGAGAATTTTGGAGGATATTAGAAGACATCATCCAAAGTTGGATATCAAATGCATAAGGTCGACACAAAGAGTTTATAATCGATCTATGCACATCTTGTGACATCTCTAGCCGACTTGAAGTCCACAATTTCACCAACTTACAATTCTACCATGACGAGTTTTAATCTAAATATTTATACCAAAGTGTTTAGGGCAAAGATAGACTCCCTTGCCAAACTTCAACAACCTTCTGACCCTTTTTTCAGTGATTTCAAGCTCATACTTCCTTAGGACTTTCGCAGCTTCTACCCATGATGAAACCCCCAATCCAGATCCCATTTTGATACTCTCAGATACCCAACTGATTATCCTTCCCAAAACCAGATCCCTTGCTCCGGTCTTCCAGACCCACTTCCCCCAAACGATTCTTAGCTCCGCTATCCTCCACTTTGTTTTCCTCCACATTAATCTTCAACCCAGAGCCCCCCGAGAGGTTTTCCGTGTCAGAGATCTTGCTCCCAATCTCCAGATTTCCTTTAACCCCCATCGGAGACACCGGTGGTTCCGCCGAATCCATGTCAAAAGTAGTCTTCGCCAATCGCCTTTGATTTCGCCGGTGCGTTTATACTAATGTCTTTTGTTACTGTCAAACCCAACTATTTACATAAATCATCATCATGCTCCTCAGACTTAAGGCAGGAGCAAGTGGATAAATTCTCTAAGCTGGAGGAATGGAGGCAAGAACTCAAGGCTTTGGAGAATAAGGAGATTGCTTATGCCTGAAGCATTTCAAATAGATGATGTAAAGTTGTTGTAAAAGAACTATATAACCGTTACAAACTGTTACATCTGACAGAGAATCTGCGAGAAACCCACATGGCCATTAGTGTATCCACAACTACGTCATCTCACTTTCCACCGTCCCTTCAGTGAGTTTTACATATAGATCCATGTAAGCTTTAGGTGGCCTCAACCCCTCTTCCACCATCTCATGAATAAATTCAACATACAGATCTTTGCAAGCTTCAGGTGGCCTCATCCCATTATCCACCATCATCTCTTTAATAAGTATACAATATACCTCTTTGCAAGCTTTAGATGGCTTCATCCCCCTTTCCACCTTTTCTTGAATTATTATAACATACAGATATTTGCAAGCTTCATGTGTCGTCTTCTCATTTTCCACCATCTCTTCCATAAGTATAACATATAGACCAATGCAAGCTTTAGGTGGCGTCATCCCCTTTTCCAACATCCCTCCAATAAGTACACAAAGATCCTTGCAAGGTTTAGATAACTCCATCCCATTTTCCATCATCTCTCCGGTGAGTTTAACATATAGCTTAATGCAATCTTTAGGTGTCATCATCCCCTTTTCCACCATCGCTTGCATAAGTACACAAAGATCCTCGCAAGCTTTAGATGGCGTCATCATCCCATCTTCCACCATCTCTCCGGTGAGTTTAACATATAGCTCAATGCAATCTTTAGATGGCCTCATCCCGTTTTCCACCATCTCATGCATAAGTAGATAAAGATCCTCACAAGCTTTAGATGGCGTCATCATCCATTTATCCACCATCTCTTGAATAAGTTCAACATATCTAACAATGCAAACTTCAGGTGGCCTCAACCCCTTTTCCACCACCATCTCATGAATAAGCTTCTGCGCCTTATCTTCACATTTATTATTGAAACAGCCATTGATTAGTACTGCGTAGGCCATATCATCAGGCTCCACCCCACTTTCAATCATTTGACGAAACATCTTTTCCGCAGTTTCAACTTCCCCAATTCTGCACTCCCAATGAATCCAAACCGTGTAGTAGTAAACGTCTGGTTCAAAGTTACGGGCCTCCATATCTCTCATGATATCAGGTCTCGGGTCGTGATCTTGCAAAATTGTGTATGTTGCCAAATCAGGAATGACTCTTCTCTTCTTCATGTCCTTAAAAATAGCATAGGCTTCATCAAACCGTTCCATCAGGCAGTAGCTGTTAATCATGGTTGTGTAAATGTACTTATCAGGGATCATCTCCCTAGAATTAAGTAAAAGTTTGAAGTTCCGCAGGGCATTCTCCACTTTCCTAACTCGACACCAAGCGCTGATCATGATCCCATGCATGCTCTTCCCAGGTTCAACTCCAAGTTTGTACATTCTGTTTAGTACTACCTGAGCTTTGTAGATGTGATGAGCACCACTGGCGCAAAGGCTCTTGACTAGTATGAAGTAGACATTCTTGGGAAGAGGGACGTCTAGCATGTTGAATCGTTCAACGGCCTCATCAAGACGACCAGTTTCACAATAAGCTTTTATGAAACTTGCATCATTTCCCTGAGATTTATCATAGTAAGCATCAGCCTCGTGTGTTTTGCCTGCAACAACAAAGCCTTGGATGACCATGTTACGTGTAACGTTAGTGGGCTTTACACCTCGACTTTCCATTAGTTCTAGCGTTCTGTTTACGCTCTCTACATCACCGTTCCTAGCTAACCCACCGGCGAGTACGTTGTACGTGACGATATCAGGCTTTTTACCTTCTTTTTCCATTTCCAGAACCAGATCAAGGGCTTGGCCGACTTCGCCGTGTGCACAGAAACCACCTATCAAAGTCGTGTAGTTGATCACGTCAGGAGCTATTCCATTACGCGTCATTCCTCTGAACAACTCAAGCGCCTCTTGCGTTTTGCCGAGTTTTACCAAAGCATCAAGCGCCACGTTGTAGCAAACCCTATCTAGTGAAACGTTTAACTCTCGAAACTGGATAAACAGATCATAAGCTTCCGCAAACTTGCCCATGTGACAGCAGCAGTCAAGGATGGAGCTTGCAATCACACGGTTTATCTTCATTCTCTCACCTCTCCCCACCACAACATCGTTGAAAAACTGCAAAGCTCTAGGGAAGTTCATCTTCTTGCGATGTCCTTCAATGATGGACGAGTAAACACACACATCCTGACCAATCCCATGTTTCTTCTCCATCTCATCAACAAGCTCTTCAGCTTCCTCCATTTTCATCTCCTCACACAAACCAATGACCACTTTACGATACGCCTTGACCACAAGCAAACGTGTATCCGCATCATCATCCGCAACAACAGAACCATATTTACGGAAGAGAATCAGAGCCATAGCGTATTCACCACAAGCATTCATACGGCTAACTATGAAATTCAACGAACGTGTACACGGCGTGGAGTAACAATAAGTATCGATAGCTTGGCTGAACATGTTGAGATTAGCATAAGCTCGAACCAAGGAACCATAGAGCCTGAACAGCAGAGATGATGAACCTTGTGCTTCTCCCTCTTCTTGTTCTTCAATTGCATTCAACAAATCCCTGACACTGAAACCACGTGCCTCATCTCCTTTCTTAATAAGTTCCATGAGCAACTGATCCAGCTTCTGATCTAAACGATAACTACAGCTACACAGCATTCTGATAACAGTGGCATAAGCTTGGACACAAAGCAAAGCCCTGTTTCCTTCAATTCGTTTCAGAAACGACATAGCACGATAAGGACGATCCTTCAAACTATTCAGTACTTGCAAACCCCCAATTTTGTTTATTTCCAATGCTTTAACCTTAAACTTACCTTCTTTCTCGACTTGCTCAGTGTGTGAGATTGATGTTGGCCAGCCAAGTGCAGGAACCCCGTAACATCGCCGAGCGCTTCCAATCAGTCCTCCTCTGGCGTGTGAAAATAAGCAAAGCTGAACCAAACCCATGATATCAGTTGGTCTGAACGGCAGCCAAAGACTAATTAACGAAAGGTCTAAACCCCCTCCGACAAAGACTACGACCACTTAAAGTTAAACCTTCTTTTACTTTTGTTTTCGAGAATTAAGTTACTTTTTTTTTTTTCTAAATGTTTTACCCGCACACGCGAACTTAATTATCTTTAAATTAATTTAACAATCATCAAAATAAATGATTATTTATATCTCAAAAACTCGATTTAAAAAATTAAATTTTTTTACAAGATAAATTATTCACAAATTTAAAAAATATAGATTTTCCTTTAAAACTTTGAAAAATCTAAAGTGTATTTCATTTCTTCTTAATTGATAAAAAATATGGAAATCTATCTTTCAATTTGAAAAATTGAATAGATAAATATACATTCAAAACTTGATCTTACAGAAATAATGATATTAGTTTAGATAATAATATAATATATTTGAATTCATTTTTGTCAATCACGTATTTTCTTTCTTTTTGAATGATCTTTTATTTATTTTATATGATTAATTCATGTTTAAGGTTTAAATAAAAGTTTAATTTAATATGTGAGTTCAGATATGAAAAATAACTTTACAAATATATACCATTATATTATATTCTTTTAATTTGAAAATAATTATGTATTATATTATTTTGAATTTTTTATTTTGATTTATATACAATTAAAAAGTTTACTTTATCAATATTTATTTATGTGTTTTCTATTTTTTTGAATTTTTTTTATTAAAAAATATTTTCCGGATAACAACACAATATATATATAGGAATTATCTTTTTTTTAACTATATATTTAGATTATGATAATTCTTATCATTATTATTAATTTAAATCATTAATCTAATCAAATAAATATTAAATTGTTTTAATTTTTGGTTGATTTATATATTTTATTCATTAAGGGTATAAATGATATTAACCACTCTAACTTTTAACGTGAGAGCTCCGTTGCGAAAAATCACTTCGCAAATAATAGTATAGATATAATAAAAAAATTAGAATTATTTTTTGGAGATAATAGAGAGAGAGGGAAAAGAGAAAGGGTGGAATTTTGGTTTTTTTAGTTAGTAGGTGAAATTTCCCAAAAAACAAATTATGATTCTTTTTCTTGATTATTGACTTATTTCACAAATAACCCCAATAAAAAGTAGCTAAATTTTACACATAGTAACTAAGAAAAAAAATCAGAATTAACAATCTAACCAAAATCTCATCCTATCTTCTCTTTTTTTCTTCATCTCTCTCTCTACTAATTCTTAAAAAAAACTAATCAATACCATTAAAACAAGATCATTCCCTTTAATGAACTTTTTACGTTTTCTAAAATTACCCTTAATGATATAAACAAATTTTTATTTTTATTAATGGCAATATTGTCTTTTGGTTTTTAGCCTAAAAAAAATATAATAATGAATTTCATTAATGGGCTAAATTCACCTTCTAATTATTTACGAAGTTTGTTTCAAAAATAAACACATCAACATTAATAGACGTAGTTAAAGCTGTGAATTTTTATATTAGCCAGCGGGTCCCGCCCCGTTTCACCTGTTACGAAACAGATCGATCGATTTGAAAAATTTAAGTTGCGGATGCGAGTGCGGATCAAGTGTATTTAACGCTGGATGTGTACGGATTGTTCTAATTTCAATTTCGGGTACTCAGTAATCCGCAAAAATATAATTTTTTAAAAGTTTTTTTCAAAAATATGATAAATTTCGTTAAAAATTTACTTTTTAAAATAATTATCCGCAGATCTCGTAGATTATCCGCAAAATTAAATGGGGTGGATGCGGATAAAATATTTTTTCTTTGCGTGTCAGGATGGTCGGGCAGAGCGGGTTTGACCCGCTTCCCAACACCAAGCGTAGTTAATTAATATTATTTTTCTAAAATAAAACGACACAATTACATACAATATATTTATATAGATATTGATGACAACAATAAATTAAAATCTGCATTAAATTTTAAAATTTATACTCCCTCCGTTTCATTTAGTTGTCATTCTAAGTTTTTACACACAGATTAAGGAAACATTTAATTTTACATATTTTCAAGATAAAAACACAATTACATATACAGCTAGCCACTTTTCAACCAATAGAAAAATAGAATATCATATAAAGTTAATAAATTTTGTCTCGAAACTCTAAAACAACACTTATTTTAAAACAAAATTTTTTTTCCATAATGACAATTAATTTGAAACGGATGGAGTATTAGATAGTAATATTTTATATCATCAATGCAAAAGATTTTGTAAATAAAACAACAAAATTGGTGACAGTTTATCTTGTGGAGAGTTGTTAAAGGGTGGAGGTCTTGGGTTCGAGTAACACCAAGCGCATCAATAACCTACCGGTGGATGTGGAGGCAGTTCCTTCTACGGTGAAAGGTTAGGATCGGTGCGCTGCAGCGTTTGTGAGCCACGGGATGGATTGTCACAAAACCATTAAAGGTTTTTGGCTATCCGTTTGATGTTTGATCAAAGATGATGGAGAGAAAATGTCTTTTTGTCTTCATATACTGTTATTGGTTCTCCATTAATTGCATACATGTCTCTGCGATGGAATTTAAAGTGTAGTTCACGTAAGCGTTTTTATCCCAATTTGATAAAAGTTTTTGAACTGTGATAGATCATTTTTCAGGGTTGGGGATTTTTTTTTTTTTCTTCTTTTTTCCGTGAGATATATTTGAATAGAGAGGTATCCACTCTGCTTATTGCCAAGTCACCGCAAACAATGAGTTTGTGACAAATAAAACACATGATAATATCTTGGTAAAGGCTATTGTAAAATTTGCTTATATATATGAACAAGCTTCCATTCTTCCTTCTCAATATTGATTTCATTTAATTTATGAATTCATCAAACTAAAACATTGGTTATGAACTTATGAGTTATAAGATAATGAAATATATCATTTGTAATTATCTTTACTTTGTAGAGACTATTTGCTCACATATCCTTACCCTTAATTAGGGAAATACACATGATGTGATGGAATTAATTTTAATGACCAAAAAGTCCTTTATCTCTCTCTGATTTTACTCTCACCACTCTCTCTCTCCTGACACTCTATTTCTTGACACTCTCTCTCTTTCATTCGATTCACTTCTTCCCCATTCTCAAATTCTCCTATCATTTTTTCTTTGTCATTCTCTTTTCTAAATAATTTTTCACTTATTCAAATATATATATATATATATATATATATATTTATTTATTTATTTATTTGTTTCCTATGTGGTTTTGAAGAATAACTTTGATTTTTTATATTTACTCACTGTGATATGAAAATTAAAAATTATACATCATCTATTTGTTAACAGAGACATTAACTGTTAACAATTTTTGTAGACGTTAACAGATGTGTTAGCCGTCAACAAATACATGTATCAGATATGTTAACAGAGACATTAACTGTTAACAAATTTATTAACAGCTAACACCTCTGGTACATGTATTTGTTAACAGCTAATACATCTATTAACATTTACATTATTTGTTACAGATAACACATTTATTAACAGTCGGTGATTTTAAAGATATTACAATGATGATTTTCTCAATCTGTGGTGTAATAAAACAAATCAATACTTTGTTTCTTGTGTTAAAATATCTGGAAGAAAAAATGTGAAAGTAAAGAAGTATAATAAAAAATAAAGAGAGAAATAGAAGGAGAGAGAGTGTCAGCCAATTGTAAGAAGGGTTTCAGTGTCCAACCAAGACCAAATTGTACAAAACTTTAGAGTTATGTCAACTCATGTGTAATCCCCTAATATTGACCTCAATTTTGGGTATTTGCCTAATTCTCTCTACTTTGTATGTTAATATATTTTAGGTGTGACAAAAATAACTACAATTTATAACTCTATATATATAATCATTAAATCATATCGAAGAAACTCAATTTATACATGCACTTGTTACAAGAAATTATCTCATTTTTAACATGTACTTAAAGTTTGATTGTGATATAACAAATTCTTTTGAGCTTCAATTGTAATTGCTTTATAATAAATTCATTTTGTATGCTTAGGTGTGTAGTGGTACAGTCTTAATCGTTCTGGAACAGCCTCCTACATCAATTATCTTTACTTTGTATGTTAATATATTTTAGGTGTGACAAAAATAACTACAATTTATAACTCTATATATATAATCATTAAATCATATCAAGAAACTCAATTTATACATGCACTTGTTACAAGAACTTATCTCATTTTTAACATGTACTTAAAGTTTGATTGTGATATAACAAATTCTTTTGAGCTTCAATTGTAATTGCTTCATGATAAATTCATTTTGTGTGCTTAGGTATGTAGTGGAATAGTCTTAATCTTTCTGGAACAGCCTCCTACATCAAGAACAGCCATGATCGACTACTCGACGTCTAACCCGCGGGATGACTTGTAAGGAACTGTTTATATTGGCGGGACGGGATTGAGACGACCTTTCGGAGACCGCAGCTCGTGCAGGACCGAACCGCCGTAGCCCGGGAAGAGTGGAGCCCGCTGGGGTCCGGGACGGGACGACTTGTTTGACATCTCTATTGTCAATACCTTAGACTCCTGGGTTTTTCTGGACAGGATAACTTCAAGGAAGTGCACAGGAGGTGTTTTATATTACGGTTTCTCCCAGCTGATCCTCAAAGTGGTGAGGATAGGTTAAAAGTAAGCTATAACATTGCTGTTACAAGATCAGGAGAGGTTTTGTTGGTTGAGAGCATTGTTTTTAAGGCAACCAGCTCTGACATAATGCCTAGGAGGATGTTCCATGTCTACAAGACAAATCCTAATCCAGATTCTGAAGATATTCTCCACAATGAGAACCTGTCTTTTGAGGTGGATTCTCTAGGTGATGAGGAGGCCCTCCTCCTTGATTCTGGTATCACTGTGCATGCTGCCCTTGGTATCCTCCAACCAAACTCAATCTATTACACCCGTCATGACCGTGTCCGTAACTTTGCTCAGGTACCTTCATCCCCGGCCCGGACATCTGTGTTTTCAATCTGGCGACAAAGAAACTCACACGCTTCCCCATCCTCTCCTCCAAGGATGCTCTTTGGTTTCTCCCTTCTTAATTTGCTTCTCTATCTGCCTTTTCTGGAATTTCCAGCTTGTTTCAATTGTGGTAGTTATACCAAATCTGTAATTAGTGAATCAGAACTTTACTTCTCTCAAATACATTTATTTATCTTCATTCTAACCATTAAGAACATACACAAAACAACAAAACTTTGCCAAACCCGGGGAGGAGAACCACTCAGCCAAACCCGAAGCTCCTCATGGGATCCTCCTCAAGGAAAAGGAAAACAAAAATGCAGACAACAAAGCCACCAGCTCGCAGAGCTTAAGTGACATAATCTCCAAAAGGAAGAGCAAATTCTCTATCAGGAACATAATGTGCTTCTCGGACCTCCTCCAAACAGGCAAATACGCCAACAAACTTTGAGAACCAGCCAATATGCAACATGATACCAGCTTCGTCCAAGCGAAGGATGGATTTTCACAATCCATCTCTTCCCGGTCCTTAAAAATTGCAAGCTGAAACTGTCAGGGGTTAGGGAATCCCCGGACAGTTCATCGATTACGGGAGATGAAGAAGAGCATTTTCCCGGATATTCTTTTCCTAATGGGAACCAAAAATCCCGATGCCTTCGTTCTCTCGAAGACGGAACCTCTTCAGTATGAAAACTTCCATCTAATCTCACCAGTAGGACATGGAGCAGGAGGCTTGGCTTTGTTGTGGAAACAAGAGATTAATCTTCAAATTTTAAATGCAAATGCCAATTGTATCGATACTTCTATTAATTTTGAAGGAAAGCTTTTCTATGCCTCTTTCATTTATGGAGATACTGACAGAGACAAAAGGAGAACCCTATGGAATTTCTCTTAGCTACAAATTTACCCCGCGAAGCTCCTTGGTTTTTAACCGGAGATTTCAATGACTTACTAAACAATGATGAGAAAAATGGAGGAGTTGTACGACCAGAGGGATCCTTCTCTGATATGCGTACTTTCTTTTCAAATTTAGTTATAAGATATTGTAAAAAAAAAGGTTGTAACTTATATATGTTTTGAAACAATGCTTTTTTCTATGTGGCCATTCAAAAATTAGTTAAATGTATGTAACTTTCATACGTTAGTTAAAAAATATTGTAAAAGTGGTTTTTTAAAATATGGTTGAAAGGTTGTAACTAATATGTGTTTAAAATATATATATATATGTTTTGAAACAATGCATCTTTTCAAAAGTTAGTTATTAAATATTTTCTTGTAAGAAGAGATAATATTGTAAAGATGTATTAGTAGAAAGTTGTGACTTTTCATTAAAAAATGATTAGAATATGAAAAGTTGTAACTTTTCTCATAATTCTATGAATCTCTATATATAGGTTATGTCTACAACATTCTTGAAACACAAAGTTTTCAAATTTTAATAAGAAAATGATGAAGAATAAATATTATGTACAGTTACCTTAATACAAATTATTAGAAGATATTCAAATGAAACGTTGCCAACAAACAATTATTGGAAGGATCATTCGTGTTTGGATAGCCAAAAGTCCTAAACGAAACAATGAAGTTATTAGTCTTAATATTCTATTACTAGACGAGAATGTTAGTTTTTTGTTAATTTTAAAATATTGCATCTCTAATAATGATTTGTATCAGAATGATTTTCTTTTTCTGAGTGGGGAAACAAGCATTTCCTTGGTGTTAACATTTAAAATTTAAAAAAGAACATTCAAATGAAAACACATCCTTTCAATTTAATAGAGATTCACAACCTTTCAATTTAATTGAAATTCACAACCGTTCAACTTAACAGGGATTCAGAACCTTTGGAATTATTCAACCTCAACACTTTATTAGAGAAGAAGAAAGAAGTTAACCTTGATAATTCTTGTTTTGGTTTGATATTGGATCAATTCACTAATTGATTTCTTCTTCCTTTGTTTTTAATATCTTTAAGTGATCTTTGATGGAGAAGATCACAAATCTATCTTCTATTACTATTTTTCTCATGTGTGTTGATTTGTATTATTGTTGTTACTAACCATGTATATATAAATGTCATTGTATTCATGATCATACATTTTCTTTTGTGTCTTTATGAAACACCTTTTCATTTGTGTCCTTATAATTACACCTTTTCATTTGCATCCTTTCACCTAATGGACATGAAAATGAGAAAGTTACAGAAACTAACTATTAATATTTTGAAAGTGAAAAACATTTCTTTAAACAAAAATAACTTTTATAAATATGATGATATATAAAAGGCACATTCTTATATATTTTTACCATCTTTTAGAAACATAATATAATTTGAAAAGACACATTTTTATGAAAAGGTATTTCTTTATACATTTTAGGAATTTTTTTAACACCAAATGCAATATTTAGAATATAAAGACACACTCTTTCACATAAAAAAACACATTTCACATTTATTTGGATTCCTATAGAATTTTATAAATTATTTTCAATTAATGCAACTTTTAAGATGAAGCAACACAACCTTTAAAATTAATGAAAATATAACTAATAATAACAATCCCAATTAATGTTGAAAGGTTGTGTCTTTTTATTCATATTTTGTTTTATGAAAGGTTATGTACTTTCACAAAAATATTTATAATTGTTTATATAAATTTAATATTAATGTGAAAAGTTGCATCTTTTAAAAACTACATGAAAAGATACCAAATAATGTTGATAGGTTGTATCTTTTTATTCATACTTTATTTTATGAAAGGCTATGTACTTCCACAAAAATATTTATAATTATTTATATAAAGTTAATATTAATGTGAAAAGTTGCATATTTTAAAAAATACATGAAAAGTTGTATTTATTAGTTTTTAATATGAAAGTTTTATCTATACAAAAATAAAAATAGTTATAAATAAAATATTTTCTCAAAAATAAAAAGAAATCTTCATCCCATCACATCATCATTGTTCTTAGATTGAGTTATCCTATTTTCTTTAAATTACTCTGTCGCTTTGTGGTTACATCGGGTGTATCCCTAATCTGATTTCTCCACCACTTAACCTCATAAGGTACTTGTTTCTCACCCGCTGATATCCATGTGAACTTTCCAATGCTCTCAATGTTTCACTTAATATATTCTCTGATAACTGATTGATAGATTGTAGATATGCTGTGCCAAACCAAGGTAAACAGATTGTAGATTTTAGGTCTGTTTATTTCAAACATAAATTTTGTTTCCAGTTTACAGCCAGGCTAGAGGAGGAAAAATATTATTATTTTTGAACGGAAAGAGGAGATATATTGATCGATGCGTTTCTTCTCACCTGAACAATCAATGGTTTGACTCGCCTTCGGGACCAGATTAAGTCGGGAAAGTTTCTCTTTCTTTTCTTATCATTCGTACATGCGAGAAAATCGATGAAGTGATATTTACTTTTGGTGTAGTGACTATCTTCTCAACTATTCCGTAAGTCGTTTGTCTTACCATCAAAATTTTCCAGTTTGGATGATTATAACCTTAAGGCATGGGGGATTTCTTTTGTTTATCTGTGATTCTCTTGAGTCTTGACGATAGTTATCTTTTGTCAAAATCATGTGTTTTCTTTATTATTTCTATTGTGATTCTAACAGCAGGAGGGAGCAGTGGTTCGCTTCTGAATCATTGTATTTATAAATTCAACATATGTGTTAATTGATTTCAACACTGGATAATTAAACTCAAAGAAAATGATTAACAATCATACTATGTTCAGTGTGAAAAGGACATGATTTTGGTGAAAGTTATAAACTTTGTTAATAGTGCTTTTGATTTATTTATTAATAATAAGAAATGTTATAGAATCGTAGGGGAAAGGTGGATTTTTGTTTGATACTTTTTACTCATGAAACTGGATTCAAATCCACTCCAACAATTATAAATCCAATGATTGTAAGAATTTTCTAAACATTAAATAACACCAGGTTTTAATTGTTGTATTCAAATCATAACAAGAGATTTTGAAATTATTTTAATGAAGAAACAAGATTTTTGATTCGTACATTTGTGCAGGTTTTGAAAATGTACCATCTTAAAAAAACTACTTATAATTTGAAAAGTGTGACTATTTATGTAGCTTTTTGAAAAATCATAAATAGTATGTCTATGAGTTTTTCATTGTAAATCTTTTACCAAATTATTAAAATGGTGGAGAAGAAAGATTGTTTGGAGCTACTTGCTTTCAATTTTTTGAAGATATTTAAATAAAACATTGTCTATAAAGGATAGTAATTAGTAAGAATGATCATTCATGTTTCACTAGAAAAAAAATCCTAAACGAAATAGTGAAGTTATTAGTTTAATTGTTCCTTTGTTTATTAGATGGAAATGTGTGTTTTTCTTTCTTACAAAATTTGCCACTAAATTATTATTGTTAACTCATTGTTATTGTTTTCAAAGAAGTTTATATATGCTACAAAGGAGAAAAAGATATAACACAAAATGAGATATACTTACTCATTTTATTGAAATATATGCCATTTTTATAATAAAATGAGTTAACGATAATAATTTCAAACATGCACATAAATTTGAATATGTGTGTCTTTACCATCTGGTAATAACTTTTAAGTTATGACATATTCTTTTCATGTAAAAATTAAATAGTTTGTGAGTATTTATTTTTATTATTTTCAATTTTATCTCTGTTTAATGTAATTTTTATATGAAAAAATGTATTGGTTTATTCATATTTTTTTTCTTGTAAAGAGATACGTCTTTTAAGAATACTCAGAATTGCAAAATTGTATCCTTTCAATAAAGTAATTTGTATTTTTCAAAAATAATTATAATTTTTAAAATATTATTTTATAAAATGAGTTTCCGTGCGATATCGCACGGGTTCCTTACCTAGTATATATAACAGAGAACAGAACAGAACAGAGCAGAACACAAGAGAGACCATTCTCATCAATGTCGGAAAAAGATCATGTGTAGCCTCAGCAGCGACGAAAAGGTTGTCGTCATCATGAACGATCATTCTTAACAAGAGGAGAGCAGTCATGGCCGAAACAACAGACACAAAACCATCAAATATATTCCATATCCGAAAATAATCAAAGTAATATAAACCACAAACGCACAACACAGACATACAAACAAATATGTAATAAAAGAAGATCAAAATCTAAATACCCATACTTTTGTAATAACGAACCTGATACCAACCATGGTTATGAGCCAGTGATTGAAATCACATCCTTCGAATAGAATCTGGGACCAGGACCAAAGAGGATTGGGATTTGAGACTAGTTTTGAGTCAGAAGAAGAAAGGGGGGGGGGCGTCGCATCAGCTTCAACCTCGCAACGAACGGTGAG